CTGACAGAGACTGGAGAGGGCTGCCGTATGGGGGGTGTTGCACCAGGGTGAGGGGTTGCCAGGTGGTTTCAACAAAAATACCGGACACACTCGACATTGCATCACAGTCTACATGACATCTGAGTTAGAAAATACCGGACATTGATAGTTTCTCAATTTGTTTTCCGAACAGAAAGCTCAAATACCAGACACCTGGCAACCCTAGATTTATGGGACATGTGTGGTAGGGATGTGGGTGAGAAGCCTACTAGCACACTCTCCCTCCCGCTCCGCCTCTGTATCAGGAAGAGCCAGTGCTGGGTTAGCACCATCTCCAAAGGGGTAGGCATGGGAATCTGCCGTGAAGCAGCCTCTGCCTGTGGCAGGCCTAGGCTTGCTGCGGGCAGAGGCTGCACCATATCCCGTGGAGCAGCCCTTGTTCACCTGGGACGGCTGGGCTTGCTCAGTTCCGTCTTGTGCTGGGTCCAGGAGCTACCCTTCTCCCCTGCTGCGGCTCTGCAGTTTAAATGTAGTAAGAGCTGGGCGAGCAGGCAGCCTGGCTACTACTGCATTTAAACTGAAGAGCCACAGCGGGGGTAGGTCCCAGAGGATTCCTCCCTTATCGACTAATCGTGTGGTTTATAGAAATTCTGTCTACTACATGATTAGTTATTTACTCGCTTCCTAACATCCCTAGTATGTGGAGAGACGGGAGGGCAGGGCTTCCCATAGTATGTGAGAAGGGGAAGATCTGACCCTTATACATATATAGGAGAGGCGATTTATTAAGCAAAATAAGACCTCTTCCCCGTTTCATTCACTGAGAAGTGGTGTGTTGTGCCACCCTTACCTGTCTCTTGGTGGTGAATTATAAAACTGTTTTGTGTTTTCTGTCTTTGAGAATGAAGTATTTTACTGTGAGTTGGTTAGGGCAAAGTTACTCATAATGAAGTAAGAGTCAGTATTTGGGAAGTAATTGGAGTTGGGGTGCCTGGGTTTTATTTTTCTTGATTTACACATTGGGTCATTTAGGGCTTGATTTTCAGAGGTGTTGACGATCTGCAGTGCCTATTAACTTGTGAATTTCAGCACTTCCGAGAATTATCCTATAACTTTTTGCCTGGGATTAAGTTATCTATATATTTCAGAGTGTCTCTCTGTCTGTCTGTTCAAGAACTTCTCTTAAATGTAAGAGCTAGGACCACCAAATTACCAAGTATACAGCTTCCTCTTATCATAACTTAAAGCAAGGGAAGGGTTTAATTGTGCCAGGAAAATGGGATGTGCCTAGAATGGGGATTGCTTCTCATAAAACCATACAGAAGTGACCAGTCAGATGAAAGGGGCTTGCTGGGGACACCGCTCCTGAGGACCTTCCTAGCCCCGAGCCTCCCACTCCCAGGAGCACTGTAAGGAGGTCAGGGAGTGGAGAGCTCAACATTGCTGGATGTTCTCCTTTGTCAAGGAGTGAGGAGAAAGTACAGTTTGCTGCGTTCCTTGTTCTGGCTGGGGAGCATAGGGGAGGGCAGATGAGTTGTGCACTTTGCTCTTGCTCCCTGACAGGGACAGGAAGTGGAAGAGCAAGCAGCCCTGGTAAGAATCTCAATTGGGGGTGGGGAGATGCCCCTAACTCCCCACCCAACCCCCTAATCTCTCTCACACAGTTCCCTGCCCAGAGCTGCTCACCCCTCCAACCCTGATTCCTGTACCCAACCCACTTCCAGCCCCTCCCTAAGAACCCAGACTATGCTAGGTAAATGTGCTAGTAATATATAGATTAAAAAGAACAATCTGTTGGGAACTTTTAAAATCATAATACTTTGCTTGTATACAGCAATAAGATAAAATAGAGTAGATACAGTACTTTTTAAAAAAAGCTCTGTTGTTCTCTATAAAAATCATACTAATGCAAATCACTATTTAAAATGTTTCAGCAGCAGGATTATGCTTAATCCTCCCCAGTTTGGTTGTCCCCTCAATCTGAAAATAGCCCTGTCCCATCAGATATCTTTCATAGTCCAGTATTGAAGTGATAAGATTCTCCCTGAAAGCTTTTGTTGTTAGTAGTTACCAGGGTGTTGGCCTGGCATTGGAAAAGCAGTTTCTGCAGTCACATTAATGCTCAAAAAAAAAAAAAAAAAAGAGAGATTGAAAGTGTGTGCACACGCACACACACACACTTCTCCCTCTTCCTCCCTTCTGAGCCTGCAAACAGTAATACCTTGAACAGTCTCATTTGTTTCAATGGGACTGTTCACACTAATAAAGTAAAGCATGTAAACGGTTGCAGCATTGCGGCCTTAGTGTTCTTATACAAAGAATTGGATTTCCATTCTCTCTTAGTACATGCCACTCTGCTCATTACACTTAAAACAGCTCAGTTTATTCTTTCGCTGGCAATAGTTTTAGTATGCAGAAGAGTTAAAGCCATAGTCTTCTGAAGCTAGCAGGATTATTTTTCAAGTTGCTGCTTACAGAATGTGATGGTGACATAGTGACTTTCATTCTGAAGTGTGCCTGGTGCTTTAATTTTCTGGAATGAATAAGGCCTTAGAAATAGAATTAAAAAACAAATGAAATAAAAGAAAAACGATATAAATAAAGGGTCTGAAATTGTTTTTGATAACTTCCCGCCGGTAGGTTGCTGTTAATTATGTAATCTTCTTTATAGACTACAGGTTGGATCTCTATAGTCTGGATTTATATCACCTGGCAACAGCTGTGGTCTGGCATCCCCATGGATGCTTCCAGGCTGGAGCACTCAAAGGGAAATGCCAGGGCTCCATGCTTAGCAACTCCTCCCCAATCCTCCCAGAGCTTCCAAACTGCAAATGCCTCATTTGCAGCCTTTAAGGTTGGGGGCATGGAAAAGGGGAACACTTGGGGGGAAAGGTAGTGGTGCCGCAGAGCCCCATGGCTGGGGACCAGAAGTGCAGCCCCAGCCCCTGCTCAGTCAATGCTGGCCCCTTTGCTGTTGCTGCCAGAGTTGGAGCTCCATAGCAGATGGCAGCAGAGTGGCTGGCATTAATCTCCCCTGGTTTGGGACTGGTCAGGTGCTGGACCAGGAAAGTACAACCTATACTTACTATTAGATTTTAGGGATGAGATTATAGTATCTCATAAGAAATATGACATTTGATGTTAGTGTTGGTTTCCAAACCATTAACTCATTTTCTTTGCTTTTGACTCTCTTATCAGCATTATTATGTTTATTTCCAAATAATTTATCATTTGACCTTAATTTTAGTCTTCTAGTCCCTAGTACATCTCTAATTTTTTTCTTAATATTTTTAAAGTAAATTTTATCTTAGAAGAACACTATGGTAAATCTGAGCATATTCATATTCTGAATAGTTTTCTTTTAGATACCTTTGAGAAGTAGTGTAAATTTAAATATTTCAGAAATAAAATTATAGATGGTAATCACTCCTCTTATATGCCCCTTGTCTAGAATTCCACAGCAGAACCTAGAGTTATCAAAACTTGATACTACAATTCCAGCAGCACTGACTATATAACTGTTAATTGTATATTGAGTTCCTCTGTGTTTTGTTCTTTATCATTCTGCTCTTTTAACTTTTTATTGTTGCTCAGATAGTTGCATCTCAATGATTTGAGAGAACATTGCTTGACTGTGTTGGATAGTTTAATTTATGTTTTTGTTTTTTCCTAGCCGCCTGATGGCATTAAAGCGAATGGGAATTGTGAAAGATTATGAGGTATCATTATGTTTGTTTTAGAAAACTGTCATTGTTTCCTTTCATGAAGGCTACTTTGTAACATACTAATCTGCATTTATTTTTCTTGACACAGAAAATCCGTACCTTTACGGTAGCAGTAGTAGGTGTTGGTGGAGTTGGCAGTGTAACTGCTGAAATGTTGACAAGATGTGGCATTGGTAAGGTAATATACATTTTCTTCATGTACCACTAAATAGACGATCTAGTCCTGTATATAATAGGTACTGGCAAGATGAATTTCTTGTTTCAGTCTGCACCAATGTTAGTCAGTTTAAGCAAGCAAAAGACTAATACCGATGAAAACAATGGAAGTGATGAGTCTTCTGAGGTACCTGGTTCTCTGTTCAAGTAAACTAGGCTTACCTAGTACCAAGTCCTGAATGGTGCCAATGCACTCTCAGCTGGGTGCTCCATACTTTTCAAGATCCGGGTTCTTGTGTATTGCTTTTAGTTCAATTATAGCTGGCAGTGGAGGGAAAAAAGCTGTAAATAAAGAGTGAAGATTCCTAATGTAGAGAAGGAAGATTGAGAGCCTCTATTTCTCATAACACAAGAACAAGGGAACATTTGATTAAATTGGGAGCAATGAATTTAAAACCAATAAGTGGAAACAAATGTGCATTGTGTGAAAAATCAACACACAGAGCTCATTGTCACAAGATACAAAAAGACAAGAGTTTAGTAGCAGTAAAATTAGATTTATATGGATAATGAGAATATCCAGAGTTAATATAATACAGGTTTTTTAAGTGTAGGAAAGAATCTAAACATTCATGCTTCAGGGTGAAAACTAACCTCTAACTATTTGAAGTTACTAAGACATTTTCCTTATGAGCAGGTTTTAGCACAGTTCATCCTAATAAGTAGGTTACATAATTTACATAAAATATCTAGAGTCATAAAGGGTAACAAGAAAAAAATTCTAGAAATATATTCGAAGCAAGAGAAAGCCCAAAGACAGGGTACTCAATGAGGACGGGGAGAAACAACAGAAAATGTGCAAATGGTCAAAATGGTAAATTAGTTTTTTGTTTCAGTATTCACCAAAATGGTTATTGTGAATGAACATCTAATGTAGTGAATGCCAGTGACAAAGAGGTAGGATCAGAGGCTAAGGGAAAGAACAAGTAAAAATTATTTAGACAAGTTAGATGTCTTCAAGTCACCTGTGCCTGATTAAATAGATCATAGAATACTTAGGGAACTGACTGAGGAGATATATAAACCATTAGAGATTATTATGGGTGCAAGTCTCTCACGGAGGTCATGGAAGTCACAGATTCTGTGATTTTTGCCGGGACCTCTGTCACTTCTGCAGTGGCTGTGTAGATGGCCTTGGGGGCTGCCTCAGCAGCATAGGCAGCCTCTGGGTTAGCCACACTGGCCACTGCAGAAGTCTTGGGCCACTGAACCCGCACTGCACACTCAGCAGCAGCAAGAGTTTTAGTGTAGGATAGAGCTCAGATTTGGCACAATGGGTTGAGATGCAGAAAGGGGTGAGGGCTCCTTGGAGAGCCTCCCCAAAAGTAGCAGCATGTCCATCAATTCCTAGGCAGAGGTGTGGCCAGGTGGCTCTGCACACTGTCTCCATCTGCAGGCATCACCTCCTCAGCTCCTGTTGGCTGCAGTTTCCAGCTAATGGAAGCTGTGGAGCTGATGCTTGAAGCAGGGGGCAGCATGCAGAGCCCTACAGCCATGCTTCTGCCTAGGAGCCAAGGCACATGTTGCTGCTTCCAGAGAGCCATGCAGAACCAAGTAGGGAGCCTGTCAGCCATCTTTTTCCACTCCTCCCACTCAGCATCAGGATCCTGGACCACCCCTTCCCCAGATCATCGAAGATTTAATCAAAGGACTGTAGTCCAAGTCATGGCCCATGAAAAAAAATACCCGTAAGTAGCCTTAGTGATTTTCTTCAAAAAAAGTCATGGAAGATGGGGGAGATTCCAGAGGACTGGAACAGGGCAAATATAGTACCCATCTGTAAAAAGGGAAAGAAGGACAACCCAGGAAATCACAGACCATTCAGCTCAACTTGAGTACGCAGAAAAATAATCAAACAAATAATTTAACAATCAGATTGCAGGTGATAATAAGGTGATAAGTAACAGCATGAAATTGTGAAGAACAAGTTGTATCCAGCCTAGTCACTTTCTTTGCTATGCTAACAAGTGTTATGGATGGAGAGAAGCGTAGATGTGATTTATCTTGACTTTAGTAAGGCTTTTGATACTTTCTTGAATGATCTCATAAACAAACTAGGGAAATAAACCTAGCTAGATCTACTGTAAGGTGGGTGCACAACTAGTTGAGAAACCGTTCCAAGAGAGCAGTTATCCATAGTTCACAGTTGAGCTGGGAAGTCATATTGAGTGGGGTCCTACGGGATCAAAATGGGAAATGTCTGCCTAAGAAGGAGTACGGGATCTGGGGTCACATTGGATCATACGTTACATATGAGTCAACAATGTAACACTGTTGCCAAACAAACATCCATCATTCTGGGATGTATCAACAGGAGAGCTGTAAACATGACATAAGTATTTTTTCACTCTACTCTGCACTTATTAGGCCTTACCTGGAATATGTAGTCCAATTTTGAGTGCCACATTTCAAGAAAGATGTAGATAAATTAGAGACTGATCATTTTTGTTGCTCTTTTCTTAACTAAGGTCTAGAAAACATGACCTAATGACGGAATATTGGAAAACAGCTGTGCTTGAGTCTGGAGAAGAGATGAAATTGTTCTCCTTTGCCTTAAATTACAGCAAAGACAGTTAGGTGGGACATTAGGAAAAACTTCCAGTCAGGGTGGTTAAGCCCTGGAATAAATTACCTAGGAATGTTGTGGAATGTCTGTCATTGGAGATTTTTAAGAGCAAGATAGGCAAACACATGTCAGAGATGGTCTAAATCAGTGGTTCTCAACCAAAGATCTGAAGCCTCTTGCAGGACTGCAAACAGATTTCAGGAGGTCCACCATGCAGGACCAGGGTTAGACTTTCTGGGGTCCAGGGCAGAATGTCTAAGCCCTGCCCCACACGGCTGAAGCCTGGGGCCCAGATCCTCGCCTCCTGGGGCTGAAGCAGAAGTCTGAGCAACTTAGCGTCATGGGATGCCCCGTGATGATGGTTTCCGGACAACTGCCTTGCTTAATACTCCTTAATGCCAGGCTGTGGCATACATAATACTTAGTCCTGCCACAAGTGCAGGGAATTAGACTAGATGACCTCTCAAGGTCCCTTTCAGTCCTATGTTTCTATGATTTCTTCTGAAGCAGCTACTGTCTAAGACAGGAGACTTTACTCTTTGGCTTACTGACCTGATAAGGATTGACATATCAGCTGTACCTCTGTATTAGCTAATCATTCAAAATAAATAATTATAATCTATGCAATAGAGTTGCAACTCAAAAATACAGTCAGAAATTACCTTGAAATAATCACATACATGAATGTCAAAAGAGACATTAAAGTGAGTGTCTATTGAAATGGCTAGTCTGCTTAACGTTCTGCATCTTTTAGATAGAGATATGTGTCCTGTTAACCATCATTCTGATGACTTGATCTGAACTGTTTGGTGTTTTCAGGTCTTAGTGACCAGCATTTTAGAGACCAGTCTTACAGTCCATACACATCACAGAGACTACTGTCATGCAAAGCATTACTGAACTGACTCATATATATTCATGGGATCAGAGCCTATCACAATTTGCTGTTTATAATACCAATATGGTGTTTGTCAACAAAGATACATAGAAAATTCATACATATTATTATAATCTTCATTGTAGTTGCTGCTGTTTGATTATGACAAGGTGGAGTTGGCGAACATGAACAGGCTCTTCTTCCAACCTCATCAGGCTGGACTAAGTAAAGTGCAGGCAGCGGAGCATACTTTGAGGTATATAGTGAATATCAAATATGTTTAACATGGGTTGCTAATTCAGACTCAGATATTTCACTCTAAATAAACCACACAGAAGTAGCATGTTCGTATGGAGTCCAAAGACTGACCGGCACTAGAATTTTTGCTGGTATAATGTAGGGTACATGTAGGACTTCTTTTGATAATGATTTTTTTACACGGGAAAAGCCTTGGTGCAGATGCAGTTGTACCAGCAAAAAGTGATTTTTGCCAGTGAAGCTTTTCATTTAGAGAACTGGCATAAGGTATACTGGCAAAAGCATGTTTTTGCCAGTAGAGGCTGTCTCTATGTTTAGGAGGATTTGCTAGTGTAGCTAACTAGCTAAATTTTTCTAGGCTGTTGTGTGTTTAGAAAAAGTCCAGCAATGCTTATGAGCTGGATAGGAGAGAGCTCTTTTGGGGTTGCTGCTCTGTTCATTATCACTGTTGATTGATTTTATTTTCTCTGCAAGGAATATTAACCCTGATGTTCAGTTTGAAGTACATAACTACAATATCACAACAGTGGATAACTTTCAACATTTCATGGATCGAATAAGGTAAAATGTTTTGAGAGAAGCACACAACTTCTTTTGAGGTTTGTTAGTAAGCAAAGTCTCAAATTCTCTATTGGTGTCATGATTGTTTTAAACAGTAGGCCTCCAACTGGAAAACAAACATATTTTATGTAAAATCATATTTTATGTAAAATATAAGACACTTTTTTATTTTCTAGTCCTGTTAATTCAAGTGGAGCTTGGTAAATGGCATTTACTGTTGTCTCACTTTAAATTTAATTTGTTCTATGTTTATATTAGTGTTTTTTTAAAGACGTCCAATTGCACAATCCCTGCATTTGAGTAGCTTGCCTCACACTGGAAATAACACAATGTAGTTAATATATCACGTTATGCAGAGAGAGAGCATTAAGGGAAATAATTTATATTACACTTCTTCAAATATTTGAAGAAAGAGGTGCAAATTATACTCAGATTCAGGTAATTATACTCTTACCTGAATCTGTTGCGACTCCTCAGATGACCCCATTTCTAAGGACTGCCTTTTTACTGGATGTCCCTGAACATTTTGGATGAACAGGGTTTTATTGAGTGTTTTGAGACTGTTTGTGCATGCGGCTCATCATGGTAAGCTGGTAGTGGGCTACTAGACAGGTTGCTTCCCTTTCGTCTGAATGTACAACTGTCCACATCTCCCATTGGCTGAAGTTTGCCATTCCTGGCCAGTGGAAACTGCTGTGTGGGCCTCAGGTTGTCCACCACTGTTCCAGACTATTTTGTTAGATCATCTATATATTTGAGGAAGCTTTTTTTTTTTCCTTTGTCTATGAGCAAGTGAGTGTGTCTGTCCATTTGTTCAAGAACTCCTAAACGGTAGGAGCTAGGACCACCAAATTTGATATGCAGCTTCCTGTTATAACTTAATGCAAGGTCAGGGTTTGGCTGTGCAGGGGGAAGGGGACTGAAACCCCCATATGCTTATGGGGATGCATAAAAGCATACAAAAGAGAGACAATCACCAGGCAGGTGAAAGGGGCAGGCTGGGGATATCCCTCAGCCTCCAGGTCTGGGATTGCCTCAGCCCTAAACCTCTAACTCAGCAGTCCCCAACCTTTTGGGGCTGCCAGGCGCCCGGGGGCGGGGCCATGCACACGCCGCGCATCCAGGGGTGGGGCCGCTCATGTGCCATGTGCCCGGGCTGCCCACGTTCCCCGGTGGCGGGGCCGCTCATGTGCCATGTGCCCGGGCTGCCCACGTTCCCTGGGGGCGGGGCCGTCCAGGGCAGGGCTGGCCCTGATCACTTGGCAGGTGCCTATAAATGCCCTGGCAGGCACCACATTGGAAACCACTGCTCTAACCGCTCAGGTGCCCTTTAGGGAGGGTAGGGGCTACAGTTCTCCACCCCCCCCTTCCCCATTCGTACATTAATATTTCTCGCTCTTCCCCATCATCAGGGAGAGGGGAAAGTGCAGTTTGCTTTATTCCTCTATCTGGTTGGGGAGTGTAGGTGGCAGACAAACCTGAACCTGCCCTGGTTGAGGGACATGCATATGGGAGCTGTGGAGAGCCATACCTGCAGATGCTAGGAAAGCAAAGAGATGCAGTGGCCTTGAAGTGGTGCTTCTCACCTGGCTCCACGCTCTGTGGTGAGAGAAGGTTGGGGTAGTCCTCTCTTCCCCGGGGCAGCTTGCATAATGAACCCTTCCTCCCCAGGCCTACCTCAGAGCAATGATTTAAATGAAGAAAAACAAAAATGAATTTAGTTAGGGCTTGTGTAGACTGCATTCCTCTCTTGAAAGAGGAATACAAATGAAGCAGATCGAAAATGCAAATGAAGTGCGGCTTTACAAATCTTGTGCTTCATTTGCATAATCGCGTCTGAGCACTTTTTCGAAAAAGGTTTTTTTGAGAGAAACCCGCAGTCTAGACGGGGTTCTTTCGGGAAAAACAAACAAACCCTTTTTCAAAAGAATCTATACTCCTGAAAAAATGAGGTGTATGGGTACTTTCAAAAAAGGATGTGTGGTGTGGTGGTTTTTTGTTTTTTTTTAAATTTTTCTCCCCCCGAAAAACCACTGTCTAGACTGCAGGGTTTTTTTCCCTTGAAAAACCCTTTTTCGAAAACGCTTTGATGTGATTATGCAAATGAAGCGTGAGATTTGTAAATCCGTGCTTCATTTCAATTTTCAGTCTGCTTCATTTGCATTCCTCTTTCGAGAGAGGAATATAGTCTAGATGAGCCCTCTATGACTTGAGCAACGCCAGGTAAACCTTCTAGTAGGAATTTATTTGCCATTGTTTTATGTAATGGAAATAATTAAATGTCTTGACTACAATGTATTAATGCATTTTGTACCCCATCCTCACGTAAACTGTGGTATTTACTTCAGTTACGGTGGGTTAGAAGAAGGAAAACCTGTTGATCTTGTACTGAGCTGTGTGGACAACTTTGAAGCTCGAATGGCAATTAATACTGTAAGTACAGCATGTAAGGTCTGTGCATACTCTTGTGGGTTTGCTAATATATACTTCAGTTATTTATGGAAGTTATGTGCACCATAAAGAAGACAAAACTTGAAGGAGTCTCTGGATATATATGAAACTAAGGAAATGTGAGGAGGAAATGAGCTTTTATTCAGTTCTTGGAGAGTAGAAAGCAGACATGTAAAACAAGTTACATGTGATAGTAGGTTAATAGTTACTTGTAATAAGTCATCTTGTAAACTGTGTACATTCACTGACTGTCTTTGTATAACTATCCTATGGAAATTGTATAAGAATAATTGTATTTTGAGGTATATTAGTAAAGCAGTTTACAGTTTTTACTGTGCTGTTTTCCTTTGCAGTTGTAATAAATGCAGTGTATTTTCCAAAACAGAATTTTGTTGCCATCCACCTGTTAGCTTGATCCACATATGTATGTATATATGATGCATATAACTATAAATATAATAGATCCATCTGTAAAATAAATGACAATTAGAGACAGAAAATGGTAAAGAAATTGAATAGAAAATTGTAATAAGCCATATTAAACGTTTGGTCCCTGATATGGAAACTACATCCATGTGAACTGTACCCTTACATGTATCCAGAGCCCCATTTATTTTTGTAGTGCTCCAGACAGGTGCAAAGATCTGCTGTTCAGGGTCCAGTATCCATATTTGGCCTTTGATTTTCATTGTTGTCAGAGTTACTAAAAGAAGGCATAGCAATAGTTTACAGTAATACCTCTTCTAATCTGACATTTCTTTTATTTTCTGGCTTTAAGAGAGAAAAGTCACAGATTCACCAGTATATGATACATGATTTCTAATAAGGTTTTGCGACAGACTTCTTCAGTGTTAATTAATTGTAATCCTGGTGAATGTTTGTGGTTTTAAGGCCTGCAATGAGCTTGGACAAACCTGGATGGAATCTGGAGTGAGTGAAAATGCAGTCTCAGGACATATACAGCTCATCATACCTGGTGAATCTGCTTGTTTTGCGGTATGCAATCCTTTGCTATGGGCTCCTTTTTCTGAAATCTGGGTGTAGTAGTGTCACTGATGTAGGAGGTCAGGATTTACTGTCGTGGTGTCCTGACAGGTCTCCCGATCTGTTGATGATAACTAGAAGGCTGCCTGCATGTGTGCTCAGTGATGTGTTCCATGTTGACTTGTGCAATTAGTCAACACAGCAGACCCCGAGAGAGCCCCCAAAGACCACAAATTGGATAAGGATTGAAGGTGTCTGGCCAGGTTTATTGTTAAGTGAAGTACAGTAATAGTTGTCAGTAGACTCTACCAAACCACTACACACATGTACCCCTGACAACGGACTCAGCTCAATCAGTGGGAGGTCCCGCTGCCCCCCCAATACCACTTTATAAACAGGTACAAACAAGTTACACATCACTCCTGACATTATCAGGTTACCACCCTCTGACTCTACTTAGATATTACCCATCACCCTACACGTTATGGTTTGATTAGAACATCTCTATCCATTGTGCTGTCAGTTTAGACCCTTTCCTGAACCTGGGTCGGTATTTGTGGGTACCAAGGTTGTGTTTAACGATCTGGTGTTACCATCCTTTTGGAATGTGCTTTCAACTTATGACCAGTACCAAATACTGTTCTACACCTGGGCCAATTACCAATTAGTGTTTTATACTCTCGGCCCTGTTCATGGCAAATTCTACTTCTTGCTCACAGCTTAGCTTTGCTTTATATTAGCCATGTTTTGTTAATTGTTAGCTAGGCATCAGGCCTCAAAGCAGGCCTGTGCTACATGGACTTTTGTTTTAGGCCCTCATCTTACTAAACTGGGATCCACTGGATTTCTAGTTTGCGCTTTTAAAAACAGAACGTATGGTGCGAAAGTAGCTGGCATTTCATGGCGATATAGTCACAGCTTGTTTTAGTTCAGAGTAACTCCAGTTATTGCCTTTGTGCAGTTTATGGGTTTTTATTCATTTTTAATGAGATTTCTTTTTCCTCTTCCCAGTGTGCTCCTCCACTTGTAGTTGCTGCTAATATTGATGAAAAAACATTAAAACGAGAGGGCGTTTGTGCAGCCAGCCTTCCTACCACTATGGGAGTAGTTGCAGGGATTCTTGTACAAAATGTTCTAAAGTAAGTTGAACTTACTTAAAATACTGTGATTTAAAGAATCCTGCAGGCTTCTTATAATTTTAAAAGCTGCACATCTTCAGGACAGATCTGCCTCTTTCACACATACTCTTGTACAAAGGCATTTGCTTAAAAGAGATGATACCAAGATATGTGATATGAGAGTACAGCTACACTGCAAAACAAAATCCTGTGGCAGCAAGTATCAGAGCATGGGTCTACTGACTCTCACACTGTGGAACTAAAAATAGCAATGTAGATGTTCCCACTTAGGCTGGAGCCCCATTCTCTGAAACCTGGAGAAGAGGGTGGGATGTGTGTCTGTCTCTAAGCTCCAGCCTAAGTAGAAATGTTGACACCGCTATTTTTATCTCCTTAGGTCAGTGGTTCCCAACCTTTTGTGGCTGCCGGGCGCCCAGGGGCAGGGCCGCACATGTGCCGCGTGCCTGGGGTGGGGGCCGCGCATGTGCCAGGTACCCGGGATCCGGGGCGCAAGAATGGCTCTGGCCGGCCCTGGTCACTATGCGGGTGCACATAAATGCCCCTGCGAGCACCACGTTGGGGACCACTGCCTTAGTTTGTTGATTCAGGTTCTGAGACTTGCTGCCACAGGTTTGTTTTTGGCTCCCCTACCCCTAGCTTAGACATATCACTGATATCACTGGACTACTTTGCGGTTACCATTTTCTGCACATTGTTTCAAATGCTCTTTTGCTATATTTATTTTTGTATTCATCTTGAATTATGAAACCATGACAATGTCAAAGCAGCAGGATAGTTTTCTTGGTTTTCTTTGCACAAAGCATGTGCAGAGAGTTAGTCCTGCATAGTGTCTATTCAGTGATGCAAAACTTCTATAAATATTTTTACAGTGTAGTAAAGTTTTCTACAATAGCACAAACTCCATCTCTTCAAAGAACTATGTCCATTGGAAATTTTGAACAGTTCTGTGCATAAATGTATATTTTTCTTTGCTTATTTTTAAGTCTTGAGTTAGGGAGCTAAAATCCTATTGTAGACAAACTCTGGGCATAATTGTCCAGATGCTGTTCACTGCAGATGAAGTATTTAAAACTGTCCAGCTCTTGTGCAGTAAACAGAAGCTTCAGTTTTTCCTTCTGCTACAGAGGTGTTCTGTTGACTTTACTTAAATTCACAGAACATATATTAAAGGCAGAATTTGGTCATCTAGTAATAAATACACGAAATTTACTGTTTTTAGTGTGGGATTTCCAAGAGGTCACCCTGTCTTAATTTTTCTCCCACTAAAGATGTCTTTGGGAGGTGAGTTAAGCCAGCATTAATTGCTTTTGACAATTCCACCGTGAGTGAATGGAATTGGATACAAATAGCAGGACGGGGAAGACTGCACTATGTTTCAAAAACATAAAAATTACCTTTTCCTAGTTTGCAAGCAATTCTCAAATTTCATCCATCCATCTCTCTGTGCTATTTATACCTCTACAAACATAGGGTCAAATTCTCATATGGTATAATTCAAGATAGCTCCATTATTTGATAAAGCTATACTGATTTACACCGTGAGAATTTAATTCATAGTTTCTGAACTGTGTATATCTAATTTTAAAACAAACACCAGTAATTTAGACTAACAATATAGTATCGTGCCTGAGGGGTACACAAATATTTTTTTTAAATAATATCTGGAAAAAACATTTAGGCAACTCGCTCTGAATCTGTGAACAAGAAAATACTTTCATTTCAATTTAGTGCTCATTCTGTTTTTTCAGGTTTTTATTAAATTTTGGTACTGTCAGTTACTATCTTGGTTACAATGCAATGCAGGATTTCTTCCCAACCATGGCCATGAAACCAAACCCACAGTGCAATGACAAAAATTGCAGGAAACAGCAGGAAGAATACAAGGTAAAAAATCCATCTTGGTTATTACCCATGGAATATCTGTGGTAAATAAAGCAGATCATTCATAATTGAAGCCGCATTGACAGGTTATTTCCTGATGGCTGCACAAACTTTGAAGTTAGATTATTTAAAATATTTTAGAAGTATTTGTAGGTCATCTTAAAGGAAAAGGTAAGCACAGTGACTTATGGAACTGATCATTTTGCAAAAAAAACCTTCTAAAATATTTGTTGCTTAGTCCCTAATCCCACAACCTCTTATGTATGTGCTTAAGAGTGTGTAAAGATGACATAATAGATTTTTTAAAGAAATTATGGCTTGCTTTTTGATGTACTTATTTTTTATATTAAAATAGTCAGGAATGTAACCTTCGGTCTCCCCTGATTTTGTGCTAAGATTTGTTGAAAGTTTAAAGATGATGTATATTGTGGGTTCACTCTAAGTGAGCGTTGAATATTCAAAGTCGTCTTTTTTCCCAAATTTTGCATTAGTCATTGATGATTAATTGGGAGAAGAAATATTTTCAGATTGCTCTCCTTTATAATGGATAAAGATAATCGCCTTTTAATCCTTTGCAGGTCACCCTTAAATGTTTTCTAAAAGACCATAAATAAATTCACAAAGATTTAGATTGACTTAACTCTCCCCAGTCTTACAACAAAAGTAACCACAAATTCATGTTTGTGTGTGGGTTTTCCCCCTTTTTCTCTTCAGGAAAAAAGGGCTGTGCAACCAAAACAAATAGTAGTTGAACAGGAAGAAGAAATAGTGCATGAAGATAATGACTGGGGTAAGCAATCATCTCGGACTTGAAGGGACATTGTTAATAAACTCAGGGAATTTAATTAATCTTTATTAAACACTATAAATTACAGTTTCATGTTTTGGTTCTCATATATTGAGCAGGTAAAAATTTAATCTCAACTGTATATATTTAAATAACATTTCACTTTATTTCTTTAATCCTGTGAAAATATCTATTCATTTCATAGGATAGATTTTAATAGGATATTTTATATGGAACTTAAGACCCAAACTTAAGTTTAGCTGCAAGTCTCTTTACATATCTTGTCAGTGAGTATTCATTATAATCATGTTACACACGCCCCCACCCCTCTTGTAAGGAAATTTAAATAATGGAGATTGCCTATCTCCTAGAACTTGAAGGGACCTTGAAAGGTCATTGAGTCCAGTCCCCTGCCTTCACAGCAGGACCAAGTACCATCCCTGACAAATTTTTGCCCCAAATCTCTAAATGGCCTCTGCAAGGATTGAACTCACAACCCTGGGTTTAGCAGGACAATGCTCAAACCACTGAGCTATCCCTCCCCCCTTGTAAGGGCATTAGCAGCTGAGAGAATTGCTGGGCTAAAATTGTCACCACACTTTTCAAGAGTATATTCATTCTTTGACATGTTTACTTTTTAAATATTTTTAATAAAAAAGAAAATATAAGCTTACTATAAGGAAAAAATAGTCCTTACAATGAATGACTGAGTCTATGAAAGAGTACCCATGGGAGAGTTGAAAATCCTATTACTGGAGCCACTTAAAATACATTGTAGAGAAGATAACTTAAAAATAGAGTCCTGCACAGATACAAAATCTGTATCTGCAAAAATGAGCCACAGACATCTGCATCCACATCTGCATATGCGAATACCTTTTGCAGGGCTTTAGATACTAATTTTGTATCTGCAAAAATTAGCCGCTGATATCTGCATTCACAGCTGCAGATATGGATACCTGTGACTCAAATGGATATTCGCAAATTTGCATGGCTCTACTTAAAAGATCCCTTACTGGATGTACTATTAAAGTACATTTTTTAAATTTTAATAAGCTTTGGTTGCTGTTTTCATATAATGGCAATGATAACTTTGATCCTCCGATTTACAGGGTTTTTTTAAATCTAAATAATTGACATTTTGACTTGTTGATATTGAGGTATTGAGCTGGTATCGGAGGTTTCAGAAGAGGAGCTGAAGGCTGCTTCTGGTCCACTTCCTGATCTTCCACAGGGAATTACAGTAGCATATACCATACCAAACATGGTAAGGTTAAGTCATCCTTTTTAAAAATGTATTTAATGACAGTAGTAGAAGGATCTATATTGTGTAATTAGAGGAAAACACTATAATGCAGTTTTCTACTTTATCCTTTGGAATGCACTAAACATTGTTGATACATGAAAGTGATAAACTTATTATCATTTGTCTATAGCAAAACCCTATCTGTAACAATTCTAGTAAAACAAATGCATATCTGCACATTCAATCTGAGTATATCTTACACATATTATTATTGCTGGAGCCTGTACAACATTATTTTAAACTATGAATTTAGTAGCTTCAAGCTAGTTCTAAGAGCAACAGGAATTAATGAATTTCTCTGTGGGTGATTAGGTTTAAACACAGTGAGGAATTTCCCCAATTGTTTAGGCAGTCAAAACTGTTCTTACAAAATATGTTTATCTTTTAAAAGAAAGATGTGGTCTAATTACAATAAAACATAAGCTCAATCATTGGCAAATTTAACTTCCATGTTTATGTATCAAAAACTAATTCTTAAATCCTAATCAGAATGGAGTTTACAAACAGATTTTGGGTCAGACATATAAAACTGGTAAATGACTATGGAATAGTTTATATTGTAATGTTTGGGCCTGATCTTACAAAAACTCTGTATTTTGAACTCTTTATATTCTGTCAGAGTAAAGAAACTAAATATTTTTCTCCTTTTGCCAATAGGAAGAGAATGCGGTAGCCGAGGTAACAGTATCAGAGTCTGAGGAAAGCCTAGAAGAACTCATGGCCAAGATGAAGAACATGTAGGCAAAAAGGATATTTAACATTTGTGCTCTTGCACAAGAACTGGATCTAGAAATATCACAAGAAATGAAGTCATGTAAAATTCCAGTCTTAAAACTTGAACTTGTGGTAAAACAGAACTATACAAACTTGGAGATGGCATCTCATAACTCTTTTCTGCTGTTCGCTTATACACTGCTTTAAAAACAAAGTTGTACTACTGTAAGTTTTCATTTCTAATCATGCTAGGGTCCAAATCTAGGGAGAAATTAGAGAATAGACAAACTGATAAAGGTAAACATGGCACACACATGATTTGGATGATATCTTGGCAATGTGGGAAAAGTTAAACAGAGTAGCCTTGTCTGAATAGAATGGTTCAGAGGATTGATAATGGAGTCTTCAACATATGTTGCCTCTTCAAATGTATACCAGATTGGTGGTTGTTATAAGCAAGTTTGTAGATGGCTGTACCTGTTTTGTGGGTAAATTGAATGTTTAAATCTTTTCATAGACCATAAATTTCACTAGAAAAATCTTAAAAGGGTTGAGTGATTTGTCAATTTGTGTCTCATCCCTCTTCTTTCTTAACAAGTATTTGTGCATACATGGTGTCCCCGCTATAAGTCGCCCCATTATATATCCATTCCACACTAAAGTTCTTGACTTTGTAGGAATTGATGGGTTATACATCTAAAATCCATTTAGAATTATTTGGCTACTACTTTACATGGCAGCCAGTTTTATAAAAAGACAACTATTTACAATGGTATTCTATGCATAGTTTTACAAAAATAGTAATACATATTTAAAATTAGTGGAGAGACGTTAGTGTATGCAAAATAGTTCTTGACTTCTGACTATAGTTAGTAAATAACTTACACTTGCTCATCCCAAATTATAAAATGAGGTGGTAGAGTCTAACTAGTTTAAAAAACAAGACAAAAAAGGAATGGGGCAGATGTTTTCACCTTTACAATTAAAGCATATTGGAATTTAGAATTATAAAAAGAACCATGGTATTTCTCTGGCTGAGAAATCTAGTGGAATTTTCAGATTTTTTGCAAATCATCGAACACATAGCAAAAGTGTACAGCATTGAAGTGTAACTTTGCTCATTTATTTGTTAAACTACAATATGCTATCAACTGTTACATTTTTAACAGTGAATCTTAGTACAAATCTATAGCAAGGTCTCATTATTAGGTCTCTGTGGATACAATGGAATACACTAGCAGTTTTGATGCAGAGTTCTACTGTGTTTATTAAGTTACATAGAATTTGACTTATACCAAATATACAAAATACTTCAATTTCACGTACAAACAAGACATGGTGGGACATGTTTTCTACAAAAGAATCAAGAGAGCTATATTACACTTGCTTTGGATACCATTACAAAGAAATCAAACAGCTGTTTGTAAACTTCTAAATTTCAATTTTTGTTTAAATAAAAAAAGCTTTTACTATGCTGTAAGAACTTCATCGCTCGTGTATAGTTTCTTCTTCAATTAAGTTGTGGTGCTTAATGTTAATTTCACTTTTGTACATTTCATTGCAGCAGTATAAAACTAATCTTTCCCAAGTTTCATTCTTAAATATTTTTCTAATCAGAAAAAGTGCTGAGGGGAGGGAGGTAGACTTAATTGCTTACTGTAAAAGAAAAAAGGGAAACAACAGTATCCCTTTGAGAAAAACAGCCTCTGTACTTTAAGACTAGTTGAATAAATGGATTAGTTCATGAACGAAGTTGTTCATCAGTCCACTGAAGGCTGAAAAGGAGTATATCATTTTTAAATAAGTGAATTTATTCAATTCTGTTTGTAAACAGACAATCATTGTAGCTAACTGGAAGAATCGCTACAATGTAAATGTAATAAAAATCAAGTTAGAGCTATTCATTGATATTATTCAATTATTTCTCCTGGTTAATACAAGCATAATTGTATACTGCGGTTTAATGTTTTTCTCTACTAAAACCAGAGATGTGCACCAGTCCTCTAACTCCATAATATTCTTCTCTCTGGTTACTCATTGAAAAAGTATATTCCTACTAAAAATAAATGGATATAATGAACACCAATTAAAAAGCTTTAGCCAAAGATGATAAAAAGATCACTTAGGGCTTGTCTAGAATATCAGTTCCTGCATGATGAGCTGAAGTGTAAACATATAGTCCATTAGCATGCTGCAAACTAAGGCCACTACTATACTTACCACAATGGAGATCAACCTTCTGGCATTTGATTTAGAGGGTCTAGTAATTATCTGCTAAATTGAACACTGAGGGTGCCTCCAGTATTCCTCGATTCACAAGGTGTAAGGGACGCCACCCCCCTCTCTGCTGACCTCCTGCTGTTGAAATGGTGCCAAGCTCGTCTAAAGGTACCATTGCTCCAGCTACATTATTTACCTTAAGCCAATCTTCCAGGTCTAGTGGCCACAACAATCTTCCTCTCTGTCTCGCATCTTACATGCAAAGTTCTATAGTACAATTCAATCCTTCAAAATAGAGTTTAAATCAAAGCACATTACATACATTTTTGTGCATGTCAGGGTCTCAATGGTTAGTGTGCAGCAGGCTGTTGGGTTGTAGATTTATACCCTGGCTTGTCATGCACAAACTGAAAACCTAGGGTGGGTCTAGACTACAGGGTGGTTGTTTTTTTTTTTAAAAAAAGGAGCCTTTTTTTTTCAAAAAAACTTCACCTGCATCTAGACTGTAACCGCGTTCTTTCGAAAGTGAATCAAAAGAACGCGGCAGTTTTTTTTATCACGGTAAACCTCATTTTATGAGGAACAACACCTTTTTTTGAAAGTACTCTTTAAAAAAAAGGTGCTATTGAATGCAAACAGCTTTTTCGAAAGAGAGGATCTAGATTCTTCGGAAAAAGTGGCTCACTTTTTCGAAAAATCTTCTTGTAGTCTAGATGCTCTCTTTTGAAAGAGGCTTGTACTCTAGACGTAGCCATTAAGCCCTCAGTCAATAGCCATGATCTAAAAACTCAAAGTATGTCTAAGAACCCTGTTTCCTTAAAACATTGTTTCTCAAACTGTGGGTCCCGAACCCCTGGGGGGTTGCGAGCAACTTAGAGGGGGTTCGCAGTATCAAAGTTTGAGAACCCCTGCCTTAAAGTAAAAACAAAGACAGGTGTCATTTGGAAGTAACTGACTTCTTTTGGTGGAAACACAATATATGGGTCTCAAAACTATTATGTCCCTGAATAAGAAAGTGCTCCTGGAAAGATGAGGAGTACAATAACTAAATTCCACAAACATCATCACAATAACTAGTAGATCTTTTATTGATTATAGGCTGCAGCTTACAGGTCCTGTACTAAGAAGAGGGATACAGAAAAAAAAATACTGGCATTAAAGCTACAGTCTGAACAAGTAACTAATAGGTCTTTCACTAAATTCCTGTGCATTATACAAAAGTAATTCCGTACTTGATGATTAAGATATTTTTCACTAACTTTTTTTGTATTAGTTTGCATCACCTTTGCCCATGGTCTAGGAAGACATTTGGAGATAATGCACTTCTTAAACTGAAAGTGTCTCCACTTGATGAGGGGCGGGAAGCTGCTTTTCCTCCTATAAACAAAGTCTCTGCTTCTTTTATTTCCATGGCTCTCTTGTACAGCTCAGCAGCCTTCTCGAAATCTCCTCGTTCATAGCTTTGGGAGAGAAGTAAACCAAAATTTAACCAAATCTGCCCCACTAACTCATTCCTGTACTGAAGTCTGTAAAACAAAATACAATGAAATAGGAAAAAAAACAAACCCAAAAACCCAATCCCCCAACTTTGCTAATGCTAAGTTAACATTGCCTGGTGTTAGCTTGTGTCCTTCCAGGACATTTCGTTCAGCAAGAATTTCTGAAAACAAGGAAATAGAGAGGTAAGATAAAGGGCCATATAACCTTAACTCTGCCCTATTGGAGCTGGCAGTAGCCACTAGGAATTATCAGCATGCACTCCAGCTGCATTGACTGTGTTAAGTGTAACTGTATTGCATGGTGGAGGAATAGGTTGGAAGTTTGACTGCAATATTATGAGACCTGGATCCAAGTCCCTGCATGATTGTTGTCAAAAGAAAGAGGTGCATATGTACCTGAAGGGTATGTCTACACTGCACCTTCAGCCCAAAAGAAGCTACGCAATTGGAGGTATGCAAACTGCATAGCTTATTTCTTAATTTGGAGCTGTCTACACAGTGCCAAATTTCAAAATAAACCACTATTCTGAAACATCCCTTCATCCCTGTGGAATGAGGTTTCCAGGGAAGTTGGAATAGCAAGCCTGTTATATTTTGAAATAACAGGCTTGTTTAAAAGACGCGGAATAGCTATTTTGGGATACCGGAAGTATTCTGAAATAGTGCCACAGTGTAGACGTACCCTAAGGTTCCAGTCTGTATCATTTCAGACTGTAACCCTAATATAATGAACATAGCCAGTTACAAATACTGAATATATTTTAGCCTCCAAATTGCCTAATAAAGCATTTTCTTTTGGTCTAATTATTCACATTTTTTTATGGAAGTTCCATATGTTAGGTGATGGGGAAAAAAAGATTTGTTCTTACCTCAGCACAGCTAAGTTTTTTAGTGTTTCTCCTACACGAGGATGCATATGACCAAAGCTGTCTTCATAAATCTTTAATGCACATTCATAGAGAGGTAAGGCTTCACTGTGCTTTTTCTTTTTGGGTGGGGGGAGGAAAACACAATGAAAACCACTTGTTTAAAAAGGTATTACATGTACTATTTGGTGTCTGCAAACTATAGAGACCCATGCTAGACCTGACTTTCTTTGCTAAACCATAACAGTGTTTTGTTTTCAAAAGAACTGCCATATATTAATTGTGGAGTAGAAAGTCCACAACTAAAATCCTGTCTGATCTTAAACACATAGGCAAGGTCATACTTTGTCAAAATGCATGAAGGAGTGCCAGAATTTCAGTAGGTAATGCTCCCTCTTGGTCACTACTAACCAATGCTTTAGGCATAGTTTTAAGCCAGAGGTCATGATATACATCTTTTCTTAAAAATCCCAGAGTATTTTTACAAGACTGAAGGGGTTAACAATCTTTCACCACAGCTACATTCCAATCAGTGCAATCACATTATCCCACTAAATGTTTTTTCAGACTGTAAAAATATACATGAGACTCTAAATTCTCTGAGGGTCTTCTTTTAAATTGAGTTATATCAGCAATTTTATATATAAAATTTCAGACAGGGAAAACCTACCATTTGACAATATAGAACAGCCAGGTTTACCAAGGCAGTAGCTACACTAGGATGCTTTGGACCAAATGATTTTTGTCGAATTTCAACAGCCAACTCATACAGAGGCACTGCCTTGTCAAGCTTTCCCTAGAAAACAAACCAGTGTTAAAATCCACCACATAGGCGTAGCAGGCCTAGGTACATGTATCATTTTTTTGTGAAAAGAGCTTAGAAAAGTTGTAATAGCTTTGGGAACAAGAATGGTCACTTAGACCTTGCAAGACTGGATTCCTAATGAATATGTACAATAATTCCAGTTGAACATAATTAATCCTCTGATGCCTTCAACTCCTCTTCCAGTCCTTAGCTCTGGTTATTTCTCAAGCATGTTCTTATCAACATGCAATTCCTCCCACCAGTACCTGAATCAGGAGAGTGTTTTAAAAAATTTGTTTCATTCCCGTCCTTCAAAAAAACAAAAAAAATCCTGCTCCATTCCCTGTGTTGTATTACACTCCCTTACTACAAATGGCAGAGGAATGGGTTGATTTTCAGAAACTAGTTCTAATGGACCTTAATTTTACAAGGTTGTGGAAAGGGAAATTTAATAATCAGAAAATGTCACACATTTTAATTTTTCCAGCAAATTTGTTTCACTCCAGATTTGCATCTCCCTTTCTGAGTGTTTTTTTTTAAACCAGGGGCAAGTTTTGGGCATTCTATTTCTGGAATATGGATGTTTGATATTTAGCATGAAATGGAAATTTAGGAACATGTACAAGGTAGTTTTGGATTTGTAAAGTCTGCAATTTTCTCTGAATTTCTTATAAGCATCAATCACCAGTTATGAGTTTATATCAAGAAGTAACTGTGAATAAGATCAGTAACTGTATATGGTCAAGTACCTGCCTATTCTTTATGTGCCTCCAACTCCAGTCCCTTTCCTTTAGCTAATTCCCCTTCTGTTTTCATTTATGTTCATCCAAAGGATTACTCAATATAAGCAAAGCAGTTTCTTTTTCTATCAGCGTTGCAGTCTGAAATGGGAAAGCTTGTGTGATCCCAACCCACTTCAGAATGCCACTGGAGGGGCCAGCAGAAAAACGCTTGGGCAAGAGCACAGGAATGCTGTAGTCAAGATACAAGTTTACAGGATTCTTCCAATTTAGGAGAAAATTTAGAAAATGCAAAAATGCAGAAAAAAACACACATCTACTATCAATCTACTCTGAATCTGAACTCTTTATTTGGAAA